TTTCAAGTAATTTGGGTGCCCAGCAGCAGCAAATATGGGTAAGCATTCAGATATAGCATGGATATGCGTGTGCCATGACCCTGTACGATCAGCTTCGATAAGCTTGCGAGCAACTCCGAGCATTTTCTTGTAGATAAGCCACAGTTTGCTTGTTTTTGACCTATTAAATAATTTACACATTTTAGAATTCAGAGCATCGACGATCTTGTTAAGGCAGTTTGATTTCAATATGTCTAAAGCTAGATGCTGATTGGCTAAGAGTTTGATCTGTATTACTCTTGAGTGGGCATGCGTTCATTTCCCTTGTTTATTAAAAGCTGATTTGACCGTGATCTTTTGTCTTTTTTTTTAAATTAAAAGAATTTTATATTATATTAACTTAATTATGCATATCACCTAACAAAATAAACTTGCATTTAATATAAAAATAACATTACGTCATTATTGACATAATGACGTAATTTTTGACATAATGACGTCATTTTGTATGTTATGATGTCACTTAAAACACTTCAGACACCTTCAAGACATATGCATCTAGCAAAATATGCAATATTTTTAGTAATATTTACATTCAAAATGGTAGATTATTGTTGAATTCCACATTTATGAGTAGCTTTTACTCATTTTTACACATTTGGCGGCCATGTTTGTTTTACCTCATATTTTGAACCTTTCCGGTGGTCCGATTCTTGCCAACTTTTGATATGTTATTCCCCACGTTTTATTGTACATAAAACCATCATAAAACGTTTTCTTGCAATTTTTTTGGGGTAAGTGCATTTTCTTCATTATTTTGACTCTACTAATATATATTTTTTGTGATCATCCATGTAAATAACCAGGTGTTAACTTCCATTTATCGCAAAAAAAAAAAAAAGGAATAAATTTTGTTTGTAGTTGTAAATTCAATTCTTATACTATCCCACTTGCAGTTCTTTATATGTTGGACTATTTAGGCCTAATAAGAATCATTTCTTTTAGTTTGTTCCTAACAACACTCATGAGTCTTGGTTTTTAGTTCTACAACTTCTTCTAGAATCTTGCAGGGATTGGGATTTGATTTGGTAACTTACAAAACCCAGGGTGGCGCTAGCGGGGCTGGGGGAGGGGAGTAAGCGAGCTTCACATTATGATAGACTATAAAATCGCATAAATAAGCCATTAAAACCACTGAATGCTGTAATTGGATTACCATGGGACAATTCCTAGCACCAACCCTATCACGACCACATATTACGTCTATATTCTTACCGATAATGCCTGACTTGTCCCGACAAGAAGGGGTAGGGGTGTTGCATGCTATTGGTTAGGGAGGTGACTGGTGAGAGTGTTTTTCAGGGACTGGCATTCTCAGACAGGGGTGTTGTGTTTAACTGGTGACACCACTGACAGAAATTGGTATGTATAAAGTGAAACTATTATAAACTACCCTTTAAAGGGTTTAAAATACCGCTACAACAGAAAATTGACAACATTGATACCACAAACATTGTTTTTTAAAACATTACCTTAGGTATAGAAAAACTTTTATTATTGTTCTAATCAAAGGAATCAATGAATAAATTAGCGGAAGAAAGCTGGTTAATTTTACTATTATAATTTTTTTAATGAAAAATTCCAGTTTTTCTGGTAACACTGCTCATACGTTTTTACCCACAGTTTTTAAACGGCAATTCTCTAAAGGAGCAATAAAACTATGGTACCTATTTGTATAAAATCAGCACCTCTTTGAGGTTTATGGGCAATTAAAGTTTGGAAGTTTTTTCATAATTTGAAAAAAAACACCTCTTTTTCAAAACATTGTATCTCCTAAGTACGAAATCCCAAAAACATAAAAAAAACCCAACAGATACCCAATATATTGACTTTATACACACTCATTATTTTAGATGAATAAGCCATAAGGATATTACAAATATTTTATCAAATTATTACTAATATTAACTTTTAAAAACAACAAAAAATGACAAAAATTGCCAAAAATACAAATTTACCCGTTGCTATGAAAATATACGCACAAAGTAAATAAAACTTCATATTTAATTTTTCTTAACAAAGGTATAGCCATGTGCAAAATTTGAAAGAAACCCATTTTAGTCTGCCACTATTTTTTAATTAAAAAAAAAAAATTACAGACAACTGCTCTTAAGGACTGTTTTGAGAGGATAAAGTGAAATTTGCAATAGACGTATCATAAATAGGCGTAATATTAGTAAGCCTTACAATAAATATAATAACTGAATAGGGACAAATCCAAAAGAAAAGAAAGGTGACCCAGGAAGGGTCAGACGGAGGGTCCATTGACCTTAGCCCCACCATGGCTAGGGCTAAGGTAAGAAAATTTATGATTAGGGCACCTTAGATGGCCGGAAATTACACTCTCAGACTTAAATTAAAAAATATTTTCTTTATTTCCATTTTAAAAAATTAGGAGGGAGGGGGACCTTAAAACTACTGTTCCCTGCTCAAAACATTCTTTATCAAAAATAGTCATAATCACGAAAAATGGGCATGAAAAACCAGATCACATCCTAAAAACAAAATTTAGGAACTTTCCACTCAGCAGTTACTAAGACATAGATACTCCGAGTCATGTGCTGACTCGATAGAGTTTAATGTCATACCCAGGGAAGGGCTCAGGTCTGCTTTGAAAGTTGTGGGATAGGGAGACATTTCATGAGTCCTCACTCACCTCAGACCCACCATGGTTGGGACTGAGTTGCAAAAATTTGAGAAAATAGTACCTCTAAATGGCCAGAAATAACACTTTTAGCAAAATTCATCATCATCATATCACCATTATAATAGTCAAAAAAAAAAAGCGCCAACAAATTTTTCATGATTTTTTTACCACAGTTTTTCGGCAACCATAGAGATCTTAATAATATGTGTGATGTACCATATAAAATAAAGCTTAAAACATTGTCTTTGATGTATGTACTTTACTACCACCTTAGCCCACCATGGTTGGGGCTAAGGTGAGAAAAAATGAGGAAATAGTACCTCTAGATGACGCTTTTAAATAGTAAAATTTATCCTCATTGTCAAATCACCATATTATAGTCAACATGAAGCACCAACAAATTTCTCATGGTCTTTTATCAAGGATTTTTGGCAACCATAGAAATCTACTTAATATCCAAGACAACTTGGGCCCAAATATACTTAGCTTCAACTAAAATAATAATTATGGTGGAAAAATCACAACTTTCCTTCTTTTCGCCTTCAGCACAATTTTTATTATTATTAATATTATCTATTATCTATTAGCATAAACACCATTTTCCTCATCATCACAATCATCATCATCATCATCATCATCATCGTCGTCGTCGTCATTATCATTATTATCATTATTGTTATTATCATCATCATCATCATCATCATTGCCATCATCATCATCATCTTCATCATCGTCATCATCATCATTATTATTATTATTATTATTATTATTATTATTACT